CCTGCGCTCGCCGGCCCAAGTCCTCATTTTCGGTTTTAGGAAGGTTCTTTTCTTTTCTTTCGTACTTGTTCTCCTCTTTTTTCGTGTTTTCCTTTGCACTTTTAGTTTTCGGTTTTTCTTCTATTTTCATTTTCCTTTTAATTTTTTGATTCCAAATGCATGAATATTTTCTGAAATCTGAGAACAATTTTGAAGTCTGTGAATTTTTTTGAAATTCAAATATTTTTCAAGTTGGTGAACATTTTTGGAAATTCAAAATTAGATATCAAATTCTAAAAAAATCATCATATTAAAAAATGTTCATGGATTTTTTAAAATATCTATCTAATTCAAATAATGTTTTATTGAATTAAAAATGTGTAAATCAAATTCCGAAAAATGTCCATTGAATTTAGCTTTTTGTGCATCAAAAAGAAAAAATGTTCAGAATTCACTAATTTTTTATAAAAAATCCAATAAATTTTGAGCAAATAAAAATTACTTTTATAGTTTTTAAAAATATCTGCTTTTTTAATATTTTTTGAAATTCATTAACATATTGTTGCGGTAGTGAACATTTTTGAAATTATATTTTTTTGGAATCTCAAACATCTTTAAGTAGTAAAAAACAAAAAACAAATAAGAAAACAAAAAGAAACAACAAAACATGGGAGACACGCCTCGCCCCTGGGCCGGCCAAGGTCGTGCGTGGGGAGGGAGAGGGGCGCGTTGCCCTCTTTCCCGGCGCGCAGGTCGCTGTATAGGAGGTCCTAGATGGCCCTTCATATTCCATCGTACAACTAGCTTTGTCCAGCACCAGAACATACATGAAGGTGGGTCAATGGGCTTCATGAATAGAAGGGCTTCTCATCGTTCGAAATTTGTACCTGAAACAAATACCATTTTAGCATTTCTATGCCTCTAATAATTATAGAATTAGAGTCCTTATTTCTAGGTTAAAAAACATCACTATTTTTAGGGGGTGTCAGGGCACCATGGCACCCCCATTGGATCCGCCACGCACCGAGTCAGCACTAAAACAACGCTAGCTAGTCCGAGGAATGAAACTTTTTTTGGCTTGGAAAGGTCAAGTTTACAAGTTGTCTGATTTTCAAGTTGAGGGACAAAAAGCGCTGGTGGAACTACGGCTGGTTTACGGTTTTTTCTTCTCCTTTTTTTTTCTTTCACTTTTAGTTTAATTTTTTTATTTTTCCCTTTATTCTTTTTTTTAAAATTCATGATTATTTTCTGAAATCGAGAACATTGTGATACCAGTCACCATTTTTTTTTAAATTGTGACTATTTTTAAAATTCAGAACTTGTTCATCAAAGTCAAAAAAATGTTCAAGAATTTTTTAAAAATCTTCATAAAATTTTAGAAAAATATTCATTACATTTATATTTTTTGTGAATAAAACAAAAAAATGTTCATAGGAATTCGATAAATGTTCTTCAAAAATTCAATTTTTTGTTCAATAAAATATGAAAATTGTTCTGTTTTTGGAATTTGTGAATATTTTTTCAAATTCGTGAACAAGTTTTGTGTTAGTTAACATTGTGTGAAATTCTAATCTTTTTTAAATCTCAAGCATTTTTAAAGGAGAAGAAAACAAAAAATAAAAGAAAAAACAAGAAGAAACAAGGAAGCACCGCCCCGCACCTGGGCCGTAGAAATCGTTGATACGGCACAACCTATAGCTAACTTGACAGAGCGACGGGCCCGCACGTGGACGGGGCATACAATTTCTTTTTATAGCGGGATCGTAAGTTTACTGCTTGCTTTAGCTTAGCTTTCCCGAAACCATCAACTCGAATCTTCCTTTTCAAATAGTTGACAAAGCTAGACTTTATCGAACGAATAGGTCTAGCTTTCGCCTTCTATTCCTTTTGGAAGGGGGCTCGGGGGAAACCTTTTATCGGAAAATATAACTGAGTCAATTCGCCCAAGTGAGGACTGATTTCTGTCATTCATATAATTCAGAAGAGGAAGACGCGGCTCAAGGTCGCGCGTGGGGAGCGAGGGATGCGTGCTGCCGTCTTTCCAGCATGCTGGTCGCAATATAGGAGGTCCCACATGGCCCTTCATATTCCATCATACAACTAGCTATGTCCAGAGAATGTGAAGATGGGCCAATGGGCTTCATGAATAGATGGTCAGCTCATCTTTCAAAGTTTGTACCTCAAACAAATACCAATTTAGTCCCTCGGCGCCTTACTACAGATAATATTCTCGTCGCATATGAGAGTATGCACACAATCAAGAAAAAGAAAAATGGAAATTCCGGGTATTGTTCGGTCAAGCTAGACGTGCATAAAGTGTACGACAGGGTCGAGTGTGTTTTTCTTCAAAAGATGTTACTCTAGTTGGGTTTCTAACAAGACTTTGTTGATCTTCTTATGGCTTGTGTCTCATCTGTTAAATATAATGTGAGATTTAATGGGCAGGAGACGGAACAGTTCATTCCTTACAGGGGACTCCGTGAGGGGGACCCTATCTTTCTGTATTTATTTTTGTTGTGCACGGTAGAATTATCAAGTTTATTGGCTCATGCAGAGGATGTTCGTGTCATCGAGGGGGCAAGGGTGTGCAGAAATGCACCATTAGTTTCACACTTGATATTCGCTAATGACTTCTTAATCCTCATGAAAGCTGATTTGATTAATGCAACATCATTGAGACAAGTACTTGATCTTTATTGCGCAAACTCTAGTCAGTTGGTTAGTGAAGCTAAGTGTACTATTTTCTTCAGCCCGAGTGTGAATGTCCAACTGAAAGCCGATACATGTACTGAACTTAACATCATGACTGAAGCAATGTCTGGTAAATATTTGGGCCTGCCTGCTATGGTGGGTGTTGATAGAAGTGATAGCTTGATGTATTTGGTTGAGAGGGTGATTAGCATATTGCAGGGCTGGAAAGAGAAGATATTATCCCTTGGGGGTGAAGAGATCCTGATTAAAGCTGTGGTTTAGTCCCTCCCGATCTTTGGCATGTCAGTTTTCAAGATCCCAAAGAAAATTTGTAAGGAAATTACTGATGCCATTGCTGGATTTTCGCGGGGTGATACAGAAGAGAAAAATAAGATGCATTGATGGGCATAGTGGAAGATGTGTATTCCCAAGAAAAATGGGGGCATTAGGTTCAGAGACCTACATGCATTTAATTTAGCTATGCTTGCTAAGCAAAGTTGGAGATTGATGTCAAACCATGAATCTCCGTGTGCTCGTGTGCTACAAGCTATGTATATTACCTTAGGCAGGTCCTAAGAAGGGATCTTCGTTTACTTGGCAAAGCATTGTAACAGGTTTACAAACTTTCAAGAGAGGGCATATTTGGAGAGTGGTTTCAGGAAGTCTAATCAATATTTGGGAAGATCACTGGATACCTAGCAGCCCATCCAGGAAGGTGATTTCTAGGAGGGGCATGTGTCTTCTGCAAACGGTTGATGAATTGATTAATTTCTTGGACAGGTTTTTGGACGAAGTGTTGATCCGAGACAATTTTATTTCAGTGAATGTTGAATGAATCTTGAAGATCCCGCTGAGCACACATTTTGATGGAGGACTTTATTGCCTGGCATAAGACTTGGCCGTTCTCATTCTCGGTCCGGTCTGCATACCATACGGAGTGAGAACACCAGTTTGGGGCGCATATAAGAAGTGATGATGGACCATCTACTTTAAACCCAGTTTGGGAGATTCTTTGGAAGCTACAAGTGCCAAGAAAATTTAAAATTATTCCGGGTATGTCAGTTCTCGCAAAATGGCACATTCTAGTTTCTGGGCTCTGTCCGATCTATAAGGTGGGGGCAGAAGACTTGAAACACCTCATGTTTACTTGTGATCGCGCAAAAGAAGTTTTTCTGTCCTTGGGCCTTCAGGAGACGATTGCTCATGCTACTGCATTAGACCGGTCTTGAAGTGTCATCCTTGAGAATTTACTCTGAGACAAAAGGCGAAAGTCTGCTGCTTTGGAAAATATTGGCTTCCCAGAGATCATATCGGTTGGGCTTGGTACATATGTTGACTATAACATGAAGGCTTCATTCGGATCATTGATGGCAGTTTGCAAAATATAAATGAGAACTCATATGTACTCTTCCCTAAAATGAAGCTTATAATACATGTGCTTATTACTTTTTTATCATTATTTGAACAACATAGCATTTGTCGAGTAGGATGATATCTGAAATTTATACACTGCATATTATAGACAATTATAAGTCTCCCTAAAATAGCTAGGCCATGCAAGAGGGATGGCCGTTTTTGCAAGATGAGGTCAAAATTTTCCTTTACTACTACCCTTACTCTTTCAGCATTAGTATTCAATATATTATTACTAAATAGCATATGAAATACCACTCATTTGAAATTATACAATTATCCGAGAGTATGCTTTGCTATATTAGGTTATAGTTACACTGTCCTTTCTAAAATTTTGGGGCCCATTTTGCATTTCACACTAGGGCCCCGAATTTCTGGAGACGGCCTTGTGCCGAGTCTACAGGATTCAAGCAGGAGATGCCCCCAAAAATGAAGATGGATGCTATATATGTTAGTACCAGAGCAGCTAAAGAAGTGCCATAAATATGAGAAAGAAGATGTTACCAAATAACAGAGAGTGGTGGACTGCATGCATAACTCAATGGAATAACAGAGTGATCCATTGCATGGTCCCTGCGATGGTATCTGACACAAATAATGGAATACTCAATTAGCAAGGGAAATGTATACAGAGAACAAACGCTGGATTGTTAACCCTTCAGCCAAGAACCGAACAGAGTATTTGACTTTACCTTTCACAACTTCGCAGCTCGAGCCAAGCGCACCCGCACCGGTGAATACTTCCATTCCCTTGACAGCTAGCGTATCTGCCTTGGATTTAATTTTGAACTACTTCACTACTTTATATTTCTACAACATGACTGGTGTAAAAGTACATAACTAAGAAGCATCACTAAAAACTGTAACTGTTCTTCCAGCCCAACGTTTACAACAGGTGACAACAGTAAAAAGATATTCTACTGCATGAAGAACGGGATTACAAAGTTATCCATCTTCTGTTTTCTCTCAAGCTCTTCCTTCTCAGCGATCTGCTTCAGCGTAGTCCACCCTTTTCTTGCCCGCTTCCTTGAACTGCCAGCTGGCTGAGTAGAATCACCTCGTGCAGATTTGGTATTCGAAGCTGACTTGCTATAACTTCCAGGGGTCTTGCCAGCAACTGAACCACAACTCTGTCCTTTGCTGTTCAGTGTACTTTTAGTATTCAATGTTTCTGCTGAGCCTATAGGCACAGTCATTTCCGCCAGTTTGTTCTTCCGAGGAGTAACGAAGTTTGACCCAACTAGAAATTCTGCATGGGAAGTGACATCTGGGCCACATGTTGTAATATTTTTCGAAGCCGCAGGCTCAATTCCATTCATACATTTATCATCTGTGCTTTCCACTTCAATTTTCTGCAGGATGTCTTCATGTGCATCTCCTAACAGACCACAATCCACCATTGAGAAAACTCCCCCTTTCTTCTCCATTTTAGGTTCTCCAGGAAGATTAGATTTTGGCACATTACCTTGTTTATCCTTTTCGATAGTGGATGTTTTCAACCTGGATGATTCCAGTTGCAAGGCTGCTGTTACAGAATGCTCAATCCTCTTTTTAGTAGTTACTGTTGGCATATTGACTCCTTTCAACATTATGCTGGTGCTAACGGGCTTTCTTGATGACAATAGGCCCTTCACGACCCCCTTTCCACTACCCCGTATCAGGTTTTCGTCTCCACAGAAATGGCATGCATAGACAACACTGTTTTGGCCAGGATTTGACTTCTTGCGCCGCTTTGGTTTCCTTTTGTTGTTCTTTATGAGGATTGTGCAGTTGAAGCCTGGCTGTAAGATTGATTCACACCTGCAATACTTAAATAATCTTTCTTCAGAGGTCTGACAAACATACTGCAGATTGGAGATGTTTCTTACAGAGTTGGTGCTAGTGTTGTTAGTTAAATGAAAGGACTCTGAATGTGCTGCTATGAGCTAAGCACATAATTGTGAATATTCCTCATACACAGAAGAAAGTTTTTATCAGTATTACAGACTAAGGCGTATTAAAAATAAAAATGATATATACATACATATAAACATAGCACTATGACAGATCTGAGATCAAAAGTTAACAAGACAGACAAACTTCGTGGTAATTTGCTCTAAGCCGGGATACTCATACAACATTATCAGTGCAGTTGTTTTAATTTCCAGTTCTTCTATGCTAGTAAGCTCACATTCTGGCAATACAAAGATCCAGAACAATCAGCTAAGGTGCATTCCGGTAGAGAACCAATGTAACATGCAAAATGCTGGTCCTGTAAAAATGGACGACCAAAAACCTTCCCATCTTTTCTCTCGTTTTTGTGTAGTTCATTGTTTTGAACACAAGATGCTTCACTAAAATTTGTTTTTCTCATTTTTTTTCCTACGAGTCTACGAACACCCATCTAAAGATTATCTATATGTCACAGATTGCTCTCAATGAATAAAACATGTTTTTCAAAGCTATAGGAGTAGGAGAAATCACTGGAATAAAGTGGTACCCCTTAAATCAATGTAAGTAGACAAAAACTGTTGTTTTGTGAGTATCAGAAGTTTAGCAGAAATCCAACAAGTGCTTCAACTGATATACTCCCTCCGTCCCAAAATAAGTGACTCAACTTTGTACTAAAGTTAGTACAAAGTTGAGTCACTTAATTTGGGACGGAGGGAGTATTACATTGAGAAACTTTGATAAGGTAATTGCAGGTCCAAGCAAACATGGATCCAACAAATTGTACGGCATAGTTAACACAATACTTCGGGTGTAGACCGAACATGCCAACTGTATGTGTATATACTGATACTGGGGCTTAGATGGCTTCTTAGGATCTCAGGATGGAGGGACTATAATTATATTGTGTTTGTTTCTTGAACTCTCAGCTTGCCTCATTACAATCAGGGCCGGGCCCACAGTGGTGCCAAAGGTGCAGCCCGCACAGGGCCCAAAATTCTGGAGGGCCCCATATTTTTTATATGGGTGTAGTAACAGTTAAGCGCAACTGGGCCGAGTGGCGAGCGACTAGGCCCATCGAGCGAGAGCGAGGCCATCGAGCAGACGGAGCGGTGGGACTCCTCCCGATCGCTACGAGAGGGTCAGGCGACGAGGGCATCGCTAATTCACTACGTTATCTAAAAAATACTAGATCGCTACCATTAAAAAAACACTAGATCGCTACAGCCTACAGGGATCGGATCGCTGGAGCCCTCGACGGCTGGACGCCTGGAGCCCTTGACGTCGTCACGTCGACGCCTCGTCCCTCGGTGGCTCTCGCTCGGTCCCTGGTCCTTACTCCTTAGACCGATCCGATTTCGGATTCAGGCCGACTAAGCAACAGGCCACTGCTGTGGTGCCGCCGTTGCCTTCCTTGACTCCTTTCTCAAATTTTAGACTCGTCTACGTCATCTCATCGGAGTGATCGGTGACCGATGCTAGCCTTCAGGTCCTTAGCGAGTCATTCTTTTTGGTTAACTTCGGTTCCTACTCCTAAATCCGAATTCTTAATTTTCTAATTAATTATTGACAGGGATCATTACTTCATTAGAGTGTCATGACCAGGCATGACACTCCTGTTGAAATTCTAACTTTTTTAAGCGGCATGACTGTTTTCCCAATACAAGTATTGCATATAGAGTTCTGTTCACCATTCCTGTGACAGTTGCATCGGCAGAAAGAAGTTTTTTCTAAGTTGAAGCTATTGAAGTCCTATATGCGTACTACTATGACACAACAAAGACTCAATGATTTGGCCACAATAGCACTTGAGAGTGAAGTGTTGGAGAAGATTGATTATGAGGATATCATTGAAGATTTCATTTCAAAGAATACTAAAAGAATGAAGTTTTTCAAATAAATAGCAGCCGGGAGTTGAATAGGTATGATTTTTTATACGTCCAATTGTTATGTAAGACATTATATTATATACATTATGAAAAAAATTCTACTTGATATATATTAATATATACATTATAATTGCTTGTTTTAGGTCATTTTTTAGTGAGATAGGGCCCCATTTTTTAGTTTGGCACAGGGCCCCGGATTTTGTCCGGCCCTGATTACAATATGCAGACATGCTACTTTGCTAGAACAAGCATTCGTCCAAAAACAATGTAATGGCACAAAGTCGAACACAAATAAATTATAACAGAAATTAATAAGGCCTCTTTTGGTTCATAGGATAGGATTATCATAGGAATAGGAATTTTGTAGGAAATGAGATGACATGTATCTCAAATCCTATGAGTAGGAATAGGAAACGAGATGTCATTTGATTGACACCAAAGGAATTTTTCCATTGAGTCTAGGCTCATTTTTATTTTCCTATGAAATGTGGAGGATAGGAACCAATCCTATGTAGGAATAGGAATCCATTCCTATGAACCAAAGGGCTCTAAAGGAAAAAATCCTATAAGAATCCTATCCCCTAGAATTCCTATGAAATTCCTTCAAACCAAAGGAGGCCTTAAAAGTGCGAAAATAATAGTCAGATTGATACTCAAACAATTAAACACATGAATGGAGCATTTTAAGACTAGAGAGTAAGCTGTAATTCTCACCTCTGGCAAAGAAAGGTGGAGGCGCCTATAGGGATCCCGGCCGCCTCGGCATTCGTAGCGAGGCGGCGGCCCAACAGCGTCCCGATCGAGCCAACTCCCGCCTCCCCGCTCGCCCACGCCCCCAGCCGCTGCAGGTGCTGGACCCTCAACACGGAGGGCGCGTCGGCCTGCATCTTCCCAGAGGTCTCCTCGCGGAGCGACACAGCCTGGTTCATGGGCCTGGGTGCCGAGGAAGGGCCAGCGTTGCCCGGCTTCTTCCCCATGTAGAATTTTTTCTGGTTACGCAGAGGGTCGATTAGTTACACAAATCCGGGCTAAATGGCCTAATATAACAAATCCGCCCAGAAGATGCAAATAACATGAAAAACACTAAGTAGAGAATATAATAATATCAGTGGCACAGCAATGCCATACCAGGCACATGTGTCTACCATTTATTTTTCGCAAGATACTCTAATAATCACACAGTATGTGGTGGTCTGTAATAAATCGAAGATGTAATCAAGCAATTTCAGAACTAAGGTAGTGCATCGTCCTTTCATGCGTGCAACACCACAGGTGGTCGCCTAGTGCTGTCAATCAAATTGCTCCCTACGTAGTACTGTCAATTAGAGATATGCCGCAACGGCATTGCTCATAGGCATTCTGCCGAACACCTGACATGCAGATAACAGAGTGAGACGTAAGAAAAAGGCAGACACGGTGACAGGCAAAGATTACATACAGATACAGGTGCAGCTCACGGTGAAAAGAAGAGGTCGGCCGGCGGCCTTGCCGTCGGGAACGGAGGTCGAGAATGGGCGGCGTACACCAACGCGTCCGGGGCAGGATCGAGGCGGACCCCTGCGCGCGTGGAGGTTCGAGGCGGCCCGTGCGTCGAGGAGAAAGATCGGCGACGACCGGCGGCGGCGTTCCGGGTCGGAGATGTGCAGAGGCGGGGGCGGGGGAGATGCCGGAGCAGGGCCGGCGCCAGGCAGGGGGCGGCGCGGCGTGCTTCTGAGCAGTGGTCGGTCGGTCGTGCGTGGTCGAGACGCTGACTGGGCCTTTGTACCTGGGCCTTGGCCTCCAACACTGAAAAATAGGTACTCCTGGGCCTGGTTGCCCGGGATCCAGCTCCGCCAAAACCAGGACGTTTTTTATATATTGTGGCCAATGTATTTTTTACTGATTTTAAATTGCTTTTAAGAAATCAAACGCCACACTAAAAACACTAAAAAAAGGCGCTCCTTGCCCTGGAACCCGAGCACACAAACGCCACACTCAACCAATCTGAGTCAGACAAAATAAAATCTTGTGGCCAACGTATTTTATATTGATTTTAAATTGCTGTAAAAATCAAACTTAAGAAAATATTGTTGAACTAATAGCTCAGAAGTTATATAAAATAGGTTTTAAAACCTTAACTGTAAAAAATAATAGATTGGGTCATTTATAAAATTAATGTTCTACGGATAAGAAAATCAACAGAAGATGTCCATGTGTATGGCGAGTGATTATAACATCTCTTTTGTAAAAAAGAAAAAGTTCCCATGGAAAGCAATGTATTACCACTTTCTATGAATTGTACGCATGTGAAACCAGAAGTTCATGAGGGTGTCTCCTTTGCTTCTTTCATTCCCTTCTCCCTCTGTTTCTGATTTTTATTATCATAGCAATGTGCACTGCTTTGATCAATGCACAGTGATCATAGCAATGTGCAATTTTTATGATCAGTGCACTGATCAAATAAAGCAATGCATCACATAGCAATCCTAGCAATATCTTCTACATATCAGTGAGCAATCCTACCAATCAGTCTAGTCATGAACACACATTATGATCCTGACAATCCTAGCAATGGACCAATGAACAATCTGCAAATTGGAAGAAGCAACCGCCATTCCATTCCCTTCCATTTTGAATGGACTGACATTGCAAGTTCCATCTCTCCAACAAAACACATAAACATAACCAATAAATTCCTGACGCTGACTGGGCCTTTGTGCCTGGGCCTTGGCCTTGGCCTCCAACACTAAAAAATAGGTACTCCTGGGCCTGGTTGCCCGGGGTCCAGCTCCGCCAAAACCAGGACGTTTTTTATATATTGTGGCCAATGTATTTTTTACTGATTTTAAATTGCTTTAAAAATCAAACGCCACACCAAAAACACTAAAAAAAGGGCGCTCCTTGCCCTGGAACCGAAGAACACAAACGCCACACTCAACCAATCTGAGTCAGACAAAATAAAATCTTGTGGTCAATGTATTTTATATTGCCTTAAAGATTAAATATAAGAAAAATCTTACTGAAAAAATAACTCAAAAGTTATGTAAAATAGTTTTTAAAAACTTATTTGTGAGAAATAAAGACTGGATCATCTATAAAATTAATGTTCTACGAAAGAAGATCAACAGAAGATGTCCATGTGTATGGCAAGTGATTATAACATCTCTTTTGTAAAAAAAAAAGTTCCAATGGAAAATAATGTATTACCACTTTCTATGAATTGTATGCATGTGAAACCAGATGTTCATGAGGGTGTCTCCTTTGCTTCCTTCATTCCCGTCTCCCTCTGTTTCTGACTTTTTTTTTTATCTTCGTGATGATCAAGTTCTAACGTGACCGGTGACGCTAGGTAGGCCACGATCAGAGAATAATCACAATTTACGTGGGTTTTCCGGAGCATTTCTTTCATCTCCTTCCCCATCTCCTTTTCTTTTTGCAAAATCCTTGACGACCTTGGCAACCTTGATTATTTGTTTTCATTTTTGCAAAAAAAATCATCATTTACATCACATCCACCCTTCGCATCATGAAACTCATCACTAGAAGGACTAGGGATGAACAAGGGAGGATTTTGCTGAGGCGTTACCTTAACCTTGCCGGACCTGTTGCTTCACATTATCCACAACCGCCTTGGCCTTTAAGCATTTGTGAGAGTTGCCCTTGTAGTCCTTCATGTTGTTATACTTGTTGACAAGTCTCGATGTGTTTTGGAAATCTTGGGATACACCGGCAACACCACCAACATCATCGAGCAACAACAGGTAGCCGTGTGGCCCTTCGTGGTGCCATGATTCTCCATAAGCTTCCCGATGCAAAAAAAATGTGAATTTTCCTAATTTTTCAGCTCCATAAAATTGATTTCCTGGAAGTTCAAAAGCAAGTAAAAAACAATAATTGTCAATCAACATTGGATTAATAGGTTAATGCTGTAATATCGAGTAGGCTTGGAGAGTATCTCTCCATCGTCGGCAGAGAAAATCCTAGTATTGAACTATCAATACCGAGACATAGTTTTCCAATATACCCACCGGTTGTTTTTATTGTCACCTAGTTATGGTATGTTGTTATATGATATTCTCATGGTCCAAGTACGAAAGTAAATGTCAACATTTTATATGAAAATACCGACAACATAGTGACGATATGGTCTCGTCGTAATCCATAAGTTGGGTCTATCCAACATTGTTGTTTCGATAACAATGTGTTGTCTCATTATTGTTGGCATCCTTGTTACTTTAACAATGCCCATGATCAGGAAAACACGATCCCCATCAATACATGAGTTAGTCCTAGAGACATGACTAGGGACAAGAATAAATGCAATTATAGCACAAAAATATAAACTTAGTTATGAACATGAAAATATAATAATATATTAATTATTGTCTCCATAGCATATTTCCAACACCAGTTCTACTACCTTATGCCCAAGCTTTGGCCTGCGGCCAAGCATGGACAGAGGTATCACTGCCTGGCACATCGATCTGTTGTAGCCACCGATTTTAGGAGATAACGTCCTCTGCGCCTTCCAGTGGAGGGCCGCCACCAACGACGACATACATAGCGCAGTGGAGCCTATCCTTTTTTTTTGCGAAAAGCAGTGGAGCCTATCTACCACTACAATGCGCATCTAGTAACTGATCATAGCAATGTGCACTGCTTTGATCAATGCACAGTGATCATAGCAATGTGCATTTTTATGATCAGTGCACTGATCAAAAGAAAGCAATGCATCACATAGCAATCCTAGCAATATGTCTACATACCAGTGAGCAATCCTACCAATCAGTCTAGTCATGAACACACACTATGATCCTGGCAATCCTAGCAATGGACCAATGAACAATCTGTAAATCGGAAGAAGCAACCGCCATTCCATTCCATTCCATTTTGAATGGACTGACTATTGCAAGTTCCATCTGTCCAACCAAACACATCAACATAACCAATAAATTCCATTCCATTCCATTTTGTAGTTCAAACAAACTGAAGAACGAAAACGACCCATCCCTATGGACTGGAATCATTCCATTACATTACACTTGGTTCTCGAACCGAACACACCCTAACTGGACATCAAAAGAGCAGAGCCGGAAGGCATTTGCTGCCTGTAAAACAACCATGTGTGTGTGCTGCTCTGCTCCTCCTCTGTTATTGCTTCTGTCCATTTGCTGGAGCAGCTTGCATGCGCGTGTGTGTGCATCCATCTGGAACAAGGCGAGAAAAGTGAGGCTCCTGCCAACATAACAAACCTCTTCCATGCATAGACGTATTAAACTTACCCCACAAAAAAAGAAAAAATAAAGAAGACGTATTAAACTTACAAAGAAAGTTTGTTCCTCACCGCCATGATATTGATTTTCATACTCCCTCTGTTCCTAAATACAAGTCTTTTTAGACATTCCACTATGAATCACATACGGAGCAAAATGAGTGAATCTACACTCTAAAATATGTCTATATACATCCGTATGTAGTTTGTAGTGGAATATCTAAAAAGACATATATTTAAGAACGGAAGAACGGAGGGAGTACATGCTAGCCTAGGCATGTTGTTAATATGTCACTTTCAAACACGGAGAGCTTTCTGTCGTGCCGTGCTTAGTGGAATTAATCATCGCTAGAGTCCTTTGTGATTGCCGGCAGATGGACTAAAGTTTGACTAGTAGCGATTAGGCATTCCAAAAAGAACTTTCGAGTGTTGGTTAGCAGCCAATAAGTCCGAAAGTCCGCGGAAACCTCATACGAACCGCACTATATATCACCAGCAAAGCTAGATGCACGAACGTCAGGCAGGAGCAGCTCAATGGCCACCGCATCCATTTCCAGCGTCCTACTTCTTATACTATCAGCCTTCTCTTTAGCTGCTCTAGGCACTTCTTCTCCGAGTCCGGCCAACGGCAACGGCAGCGACACGGACCTTGCCACGCTGTTGGCTTTCAAAGGCCAGCTTTCCGATCCTCTCGGCATCCTTGCCAGCAACTGGACCACCGGCACGTCTTTCTGCCACTGGGTCGGCGTCTCGTGCAGCTCAAGGAGGCGGCGCGTCACAGCTCTGCGCCTCACCTACATACCCCTCCATGGATCGCTCGCTCCTCAGCTTGGTAACCTCTCTTTCCTCTCGGTTCTCAACCTCACCAGCACAAACCTCACCGGTTCAATCCCTGATTCTATAGGGAGATTGCATCGCCTAAAATATCTAAACTTCAGGTTCAATGGCCTCTCGGGTAGCATCCCACCCACTATAGGAAACCTCACCAGGCTTCAGGTTCTTACCCTAGGCTTTAACAGTATCTCTGGTCCGATCCCGGTCGAACTACAGAACCTACACCATCTCAACTCCCTATATCTGCAGCATAATTCCCTCGCCAGCACCATACCGGTCAATCTGTTCAACAGCACAGCAATGTTGACTGTTCTAGACATTGGCAACAACAGCTTGTCCGGAGCAATACCGCCTTGCATCGCGTCCTTAGAAATGCTAGAGTTACTGGACCTGCAAGTAAATCATCTCGCCGGTCCGGTGCCCCCAGCCATCTTCAATATGTCCAAACTGCATTCTTTATGGCTCGGTGACAACTACAATTTAACTGGCTCTTTCACAACCAACTCAAGTTTTAATCTACCATCGCTAGAAAAAATCATCCTTCAAAACAACGGTTTCACAGGTCAGATCCCACTGGGGCTCATGTCTTGCCAGTACCTTCAAATTATTTCCTTTTCAAGCAATTCATTTGAGGGTCTTGTGCCAACATGGCTGGGAAAGTTGACCAATCTTCGTTACCTTTTATTGGGTGGGAATAACCTTTTTGGGCCAATCCCAGTTACTCTCAGCAACCTCACTTCACTGTATGCCCTAGACTTGTCATTCTGCAAGTTGGCAGGATCCATTCCGGCTCAACTTGGACAACTTGGCCAGCTATCCGAATTGCACCTTGCCACTAGTCATCTATCAGGTGCAATTCCACCTACCCTCGGCAATTTATCTCAACTAACTTACCTCGATTTGCAAATAAATCCACTGTCTGGATCCATACCAGCAACACTTGGCAACATTGCAACTTTGAACATGCTTATTCTAACGGATAACAATTTAGAGGGGAATCTGGGCTTCCTATCAGATCTTTCCCGTTGTAGGGATCTCCAACTCCTTTTCATAGAGGGAAATTCATTCACCGGGTCCATCCCTAACCACGTGGGAAACCTCTCTACACAGTTGATCACTTTTCGTGCGGGTCGCAACAAGTTAACCGGTGGACTTCCAGCTACTTTCTCAAACTTATCCAACCTTGAATGGTTAGATATTTCAAACAACCTACTCACCGAGGCAATCCCAGAGTCCATCACTACAATGAAAAATTTGGTGCTTCTTAACCTCTCTCGAAACAGTATCTTGGGCCCAATACCAACACAAATTGGCATGCTCGTGGGTCTACAGAAGTTGTTTCTCCAAGGAAACAAATTCATTGGCTCTATACCAGCCAGCATCGGCAATCTTAGCATGTTGGAATACATTGACTTGTCCAATAACCAAATAAGTTCAAAGATACCGACAAGCTTATTCCAGCTTGATAAACTTATCCAGCTATTTCTTTTCCAAAATTTCCTTGCTGGCGCATTACCGACCAATGTTGATGGTCTAATACAAATCGATCAAATGGACATTTCTTCCAACTTCTTGATAGGAACCATCCCACAATCATTTTCTCTACTTAGGATGCTAACCTACCTAAATATGTCACACAACTCGTTCGATGGCTCAATCCCAGACCAGCTTCAAAGGTTAACCAGCTTAGCAACATTAGACCTCTCCTCCAACAATCTTTCCGGCAAAATTCCCAAGTTCCTTGCCAATTTTACCTACTTGACTACACTAAACCTCTCATTCAATAGGCTAGAAGGACAAATACCAGAGGGAGGTGTTTTCTCAACCCTCACATTGCAATCTTTGATTGGGAATGCTGGACTATGTGGTGTTCCACGCTTGGGATTTTTGTCATGCCTTGCCCAATCCCACTCAAGCAGTAGGCATTTGCTGGAATTTCTGCTCCCTGCTGCCATTGTAGCTTTTTGCGGTATTGCTACCTTCGCATACCTATTGATAGGAAGAAAGCTTAAACAGGGAGATGTTGTTAATGCCTCGGCCGATCCGACTGATTCTGTAATAAGCCATCAGTTAGTCTCCTACCATGAGTTAGTTCGTATTACTGATAACTTCAGTGATGATAAGATGTTGGGGTCTGGAAGCTTTGGAAAAGTTTTCAAGGGACAATTGAGCAACGGTTTGATGGTTGCAATAAAAGTCCTAGACATGCAGCTGGAGCAGGCTATCAGAAGCTTCAATACTGAGTGTGGTGTATTGCGCATGGCACGACACCGCAACCTCATAAGGATACTCAACACCTGTTCCAACTTGGACTTCAGAGCACTTGTGTTGCCGTACATGCCTAATGGTAGTTTGGAGATGCTCCTACACTACCCTCAAGGCTCAACATACTTGGGGTTCCTTGAGAGGCTAGGCATCATGCTTGAAGTGGCACTGGCAATGCAGTACCTGCACCATGAACACCATGAGGTGGTCTTGCACTGTGACTTGAAGCCTAGCAACGTGTTGTTCGATGAGCACATGACGGCGCATGTGGCAGACTTTGGCATCGCAAGGTTGCTACTCCGGGATGACACCTCTATGATCTCTGCCAGCATGCCTGGGACAATTGGCTACATGGCACCAGGTACTCAGCTAGACCTTGTAATTAAGCTTGCCCGGTCTATTGTTGTTAAGCCCTTTTGGTCAACCAATCATGCCTTAAATTTCGTTTCATGAATTCCTTGAGCAGAGTACGGGTCCCTTGGAAAAGCATCACGGAAGGCTGATGTGTTCAGCTACGGGGTCATGCTCCTTGAAGTCTTCACTAGAAAGAGACCAACCGATGCCTTTTTCAATGGAGATCTAAGCCTTAGGCAATGGGTTTTTGAAGCGTTTCCTGCGGAACTCGTCCATGTTATAGATGTCCATCTACTCCAAGGCGCTTCTGGCTGCAGCTTTCAAGGGTTTCTAGCGCCAGTATTCGAGCTGGGTTTGCGCTGCACCAGCTTCGCACCTGACGACAGGATGACGATGAGCGATGTGGTTGTGATGCTGGAGAAAATAAAAAAGGAATATGCTAAATCAGCACTTGAACAGAGTCATGCATCCGAATGATTCATCACTCTTGCCTATCTGTGTATGGATGCATCTGCTCTGCATAGGTACTGAGAATAGCATCCATTATGAAACGAATGTTTTCCTATTTTTAATTGTAAAACTGATCAGAGAAAATGAGAGGTACCCTGAATATAACGTGCAGCTTCCTCACGTGTTGTCAATTATCTGAGTTACCTTGCCTCTGTTTCACATGAATGCAACCTGGAGCCTACTCCAATAACTGCGAGGTGTTGTAGCAGCGAGAAGGTCAGTAAAAATGAAGTCCTGGAAAATCAAAATATCTGCAGCAAAAAGAAAACCACGAAAGAACAGAAAAATAATCGGGTGGACAAAGAAAAGGAAAAAAAGTATGTTTGTTCCCAAAAACTGATAGGTATAAATAATTGTTGCCGACCTTCTAGTTCGTTTCAGATCATCCACCAACCAATCATTCCGTTTACCTAGATAAGTGTTGTACTGATTGGTTTGCAGAAGCAAAATCATGACATTTTCAATTGGCCGATGCCATCTCCATCGTGCTATTTTATAGTACTTTCAGTATTCTGAATCTTTTTATGTTTTGATGACGGGAAAACAAATGATAGTCAGTTACTACTATATGTTCAAGCGCGGAAAGAAATGTGATCTACAGTGAAAATGCAACTGGGAATCATCAGTCTGGCGTTGTTATGCCAGTATGTTTGGAACACTGGTTTCGTGCCAAATCTACAGGATTCAGGCACGAGATGCCCCAAGAACTAAAGATGGATGCTATATAAGTTAGTAAGTACCCGGTCAACTAAAGAAGTGCCATACAAATCAGTCTCAAGATGTTACCAAATCCAGAGTGGTGGACTGCATGTATAACTCCAGTCCATAGCATGATCACTGTGATGGTATCTGACAGAAACAAAGGAATACTTAATTAGCAACAAAACTGTTTACATAGTATGAACAAAATCTGAAGAAATCATGCTGATGCGTACAGAAATAAGAGCAAAACTGTAATTATGCAAGTACCCTTGTCTTATCAGAATCAGGTTATAGTCATCAAACAGTTCACAGAGTTACTACTACACTGGTGCACTAGTACACATGCAATTTCAATTTACTTTCTGACGGAGTGGGTCATGCTGAAGAACGTAGCAATTCACATGTCAGGAATTGTTAGCCAATGTTGATCCCAAAAACAAAAAGAATTGTATGGCATCTGGAGCACAAGTAGCAACCTGGATCTGATTATAATATGGAAAAGAACTGCATGAATGGATCTCTGGATTATTAATCCTTTAGCCAAGAACAAAGCAGAGTACTTGACTTTACCTTTCACAGATTGGCAGCTTGAGCCAAGCACGCCTACATTGCTTACATTCTCCTTTGACTGCTAGCTATCCGCCTTAGGTTTAATTTTTATTTTCTTGGTAACTTTATATTTCTTTCATACTACTGACGACATGATTGGTGCAGAAGTACAAAACTAAAAAATACCACTGCAAATGTAACAGTTCTTCCAGCCAAACGTTTACAACAGGTGACAACTGTAAAAGATATTTTACTGCATGAAGAACGGGATTACAAAGTTATCCATCTTCTCTTTTCTCTCAAGTTCGTCCTTCTCAGCAATCTGCTTCAGTGTAGTCCACCCTTTTCTTGCCCGCTTCCTTGAACTGCCAGCTGGCTGAGTAGAATCACCTGGTGCAGACTTTTTATTCGATGCTGACTTGCTATAACTTCCAGGGGTCTTGCCAGCAACTGAACCACAATTCTTCGCTTTATTGTTCAGTGTACTTCTAGTCTTCAATGGTTCTGCTGAACCTATAGGCGCAGTCACTTCCGCCAGTTTGCTCTTCAGAGGAGTAACAAAGTTTGACCCAGCTAGAAATCCTGCTTGAGAAGTGACATCGGGTTCACATATAGTATTTTTAGAAGCCGCAGACTCAATTCCATTCACACATTTATCATGTGCGCTTTCTACTTCGATTTTCTGCAGGATGTCATCGTGTGCAGCCGCTAACTGACCACGATCCACCATTGAGAAAACTGCCCCTTTCTCCATTTTATAATCTTCAGGAGTGGATATTTTCAACCTGGATGATTCCAGTTGTGAGGCTGGTGTTACAGAATGCTCGATCCCCTTTTTAGTAGTTATTGTTGGCACATTCATATTGCTAGCAGGCTTTCTTGATGCTAACAGGCCCTTCACGATACCCTTTCCACTACCCCGTATCAGGTTTTGATCTCCACAGAAATGACATGCATATACAACACTGTTTTGGCCAGGATTTGACTTCTTGCGCCGCTTTGCTTTCTTTTTGTTGTTCTTTATGCGGATTGTGCAGTTGAAACCTGGCTGTAAGATTGATTCACACCTGCAATATTCGAATAATCTTTCTTCAGAGGTACATTTAAGGCTTATTGATATGGACAAAGGTACAAAAACAGAAAATAAAATGCAGCATAAATAACAAACTGCATTGACCACATATATAATCTATAAATGTACAAGAATACCGCCGACCCTTCAACCTGGCCGCTTATAAACATACAGCAGATTGGAGATGTATTGGTGTTAGTGTTGTTAGTTAATAGTATATTCTGAAGGACCTTTTTGCAAACTTGCTAAATGAAAAGAGTCTGAATGTGGTGCTCTGAGCTAAACACATAATTCCAAATATTCTAGCATTACTACAAACTGTAAGGCGTATTAAAAATAAATTGATACATACATACATAGCACTATAACAGATCTGAGATCAAAGGTTAAGCAAGACAGACAAGCTTTGCGGTAATTTGCTCTAAGATGGAATACTCATACAACATTATCAGCACAGTTTTCTATTTCCAGTTCTTGTATGCTGGTAAGCTCACATTTTGACAATACAAGGATCCAGAGCCATCAGCTAAGGTGCATTCCGGTAAAGAACCAATGTAACATGCAAAATGTTGGTCCTGCAAATTGGACGACCAATAACCTTCCCATCCTTTCTCTCGCTTTTGTGTAGTTCATTGTTTTGAAAACAAGATGTTTCACTTAAATTTTGCATGTTCAATCATTTTTTTGGCCTTACGACCACCCATCTAAACATTATCTGTACCTGACAGATTGCTCTCATTGAATAAAACAAGTTTTTCAAAGCTATAGGAGACAGCATCTCAGCAACAATGGGTGCTGAAAACAGAACAGAGAACACTGCAATAAAGTGGTACCACTTAATCAATGTAAGCCAACAAATATTGTTGCTTAGTGAGTGTCAGGAGTTTAGCAGAAAACAAGTAAATGCTTGAACTGATATACTGCATTGAGAAACTTTGAGAAAGGTAATTGGAAGTCCAAGCAAACATGGATCCAGCAAGATAATTGTATAGCATATAGTTAACACAATTGTGGACCGATTTCAACATGTCAACTGTATGTGTATATATTGATACTGGGGTCCTTGCACTTAGTTGGCTTCCTCTTAGGATCTCAGGATGGAGGGACCATACTTCTAAACAGCTCCCGCTGGCAGCAACTTATGGCTCTATCTCTGCCTGCTACCTCTGCCTATGATATGCTGCTACTACGATATGGAAGGAAGAGAGGAAAGCATAAATCGAACAAATAAGTCAGCACGGCAGAGGATTGGATGGAGCGGATGAAAGCACAAATCATGAGTTCAGCAAGGAGCGGAGAGGGCAGATGAGAATATCACTCAGGAGGGCGGCAACGGCCGTTGTTGTGGCCCCCAGTCACTCCGGCATTGGCCTGACAAGGTTAGGCTTTGTAACACCCAGGAGGTGACTCGGTCTGGAGGCTGCACGGGCAGGGACTAAGATTTTGAGTCGCTTGAATCAAGGGGGTCAATTTGCCGAGAATAGTCAGCGACTAGTCAACCAGTTACTTGACTGTGCCAACCAGTCCAGTCAATGTGCCCAGTTGACACCTAAGGTAGGACTGGCACACTGTCTCTCAACTCTTAATCATTTGGCGGAATAAGACTTTCCATGTACACCTTAGATATTTCAAATAAGACTTTCCATGTAAAAAGTTATTCTGTTACAGTTTTGCCTATGTGAAAAGAACAAAATTCAGGTAATAAGCCCCTAATACTTCCCCATTTCTCCAATCAAATATCATCATCAATGGCCTAAGAGAGAAAAAAAATACTGTATTGCCCGTTGGAAAGCTCATAAAACGTGTTTGTTTCTCAAAGTCTCAGTTTGCCACATCACAAGATGCAGACATGCTACTTTGATAGAACAAGCACTTGTCCGAAAACAATATAATGGTACATAAGTCACACACAAATAAACTATAGTAGAATTTCAAATGGGTAGATAATAATCAGATTGATAAGGTCAAACAATTAGCCACATGAATGGAGCATCTTAAAAATACACAGTAAGCTTTAACTCTCACCTCTGGCAAAGGAAGGTGGAGGCTTCAACGGGAATCCCGGACGCCTCAGCGTTCGTGGCGAGGCGGTGGCCCAGCAGCGCCCCGATCGAGCCAACTCCCACATTACCGCTCGCCCATGCCGCCAGCCGCTGCAGGTGCTGGACCCTCAGCAGGGAAGGCACGTCGGCCTGCGCCTTCCCGGAGGTCTCCTCGCGGAGCGACATGGCCTGGTTCATGGGCCTGGATGCCGAGGAACGGCCAGCATTGCCCGGCTTCTTCCCCATGTAGAAAAGTTTCTGGTTATACAGAGGGTCAACTAGTTAGACAAATCTAGGTATGTACTCCACAATAAGATATTGCATAGTGTACTAACATTTCCCAGCATCTAAGAATCCATAACTGGCCTAACAAAATAAATCCACTCAATAAGATGAAAAACACTAAATAAAGAATATAAACAACAGGTTCAGTCTAGCAAGCCAACACCACTGCCACAAGAGGTGGCTACGGCGCGCGCCCAGGGATGGTGATATAAGCTGAAAAGGCTCAACAATCAATTTCCCCCTAGTATTATAAATTAGTGATATGCAGCTACCCATAGGAATTTTGCTGAACACCTCACATGCACATGACAGAGTGA